AATTATGTCCTCTAGGGGACGTGGACATAAAGGGACATAAATTTTATATGCTAAATACTTTAGGGACCCATCTTTACTTGTATGTATGCGGGTTGCATTTATATAGGTTATTTTTGGTTGGCAACTCATTGTTGAGAAGCTTATATTTAAATGCCCTTGTGTTGTGTTTTTCTCATGACATGGTGTCTGCAGTAATCTTTGTTGGATGCTGATTCTCCCATGTTTCTCGCCATGATATTTGATCTTCTTGTTTGTCCAGCCATTGTATATGTCTGTTTTGTATGCACCATTTGGCTATCCACTTTGCATTGGTAATGTTCTTGATGAATCTGGGAATATCTGTATCTAGTGTAAATTCTTTCCATTGTATTGTTGTTATGTTGGTTGCTGTAAAATCTTTGAGGTGTATAATGTGTTGGCTGCTTCTTCCTTCTTTTGCTTCTTGATCTGCTTTATTGTTCATGATGTCATTGTTGTGTGCCTTGACTTTGGTGATAGTTGTGTTGCCTGTTCTCCTATTGATCTGTGATTGGATTTGTGCAACTGTGAGGTGGTTAGGTTGTTTTATTTGTATTGTATTGTTTTTGCTGTTTTTTATTGTGTGTATAGCATTGCTGCTGTCTGTATGGATGTTTACATTGGCTGTTGTTGGGATGAGTTCAATTGCTGTGAGGATTGCCATCAGTTCTGCTTTTGTGGAAGATGGCCTATACCCATTTTCACATTGTTGTCATCTGTTGGATCCATAGAGCCATCTGTGTACATGTTGATGTCACTCCATTGTTCTGTAAGCCTCTTTATTTCTTTGATCTTTTCTTTTCCTGTTTGATTTGCTGTGATAAGGCTGCTGTTTATGTTGTCATCTATTGTTATTATTGGTAAGGGGTCTGTTTGTTGTTAGTTGATCTCTCTAATGTGTGTGAGGTTGTTGTGTATTGAGTTGGGGGATTGCTGTATGTGCATTAGTTGACCTGTTATGTAGCTGTGGATTTGGGAACTGTTGTTTATTTTCTTGGTTGGTAGGGAAATGCATTTGTTTGCTGCTAGTTTTCTGGAGCATCCTGTTTTGTTACCTCATGTATTTAAGTTGCATCCTGTGCATTTTTCAATAGGTGAGTCTCCTGCTATTTGGATGAAGTGTGTTGCTGTAATGTGATTGTTATTTGATCAGTGTTTTGTTGTTCTTTTGCCTATGTATATCTATCTGTCTATACTTGTGGCTAAGTATTCTCCTCTGTTTATTGTTGTGTTGGTGGATGTTCTGTGTTGTGTTAGCAAGTTTGTTGACAGGTTGGGAATGATAATTCTTCTGTCATTTGTGATTATGTTTTCTTGTGCAAGAAAGTTTGTGTTGTGTTTGTCACTTGTTCAATAAACATCAGTTTGTGTTTTTTAAGTGACCCTCTATTTTTGATGTACCATTGTTGTGGTATATATTCTTCAATGGGATGTAGCAGGGAGTTCCTTGTCGTTTGCAGGGCTGTGTTACTAGGTGTTATGTGTATGTCATTTTCTTTAAATAATGTCAGTAACTTGTTGATGAAGTTGTTGTTAAGGTTTTTTAGATCATTTGTTGTCTTGACTGTGACTGGTTGTGTACTCCATACTTGCTCTTGCAGGCTTTGCAATCTTGCTCTTTTTATTTGTCCAATGATGTTGTTGCTGTTGATTTGGTTCATCCAAGTTCATGTGTGTAGTTGAAGCATTCTATCATAAATGTGAAACACTTTGTATCCTGTGTGAAGGTGAATTCCACTGTTGATACTTGTAAATGCTATGTTGATTTTGTTTTTGATTACCACTATAATTTTCCATTTATTTGCTGGCATTCTGTTTCACTCAATATGATGTTTTGTAGCAGGTATTCTATTACGGGCATTAGGACTTGATTGAGAATATATCTGCATTGTTTGTCTGTAATATGCTTTCTTTTGAGTATTTTGATGGTATAGTTGATTTTATCTTGAATGATCTGCTTTTAGTGAGTCGCTTTTCCTGATTGTGTGATGTATACTCCTAGGATTCTAATTGGTTTGTCTCTCTGTGTTTTGGTGATCTTGTGATTGTTGGACTCCAATGTTGCTTCTTCTGTGTTGTTGACTGTCAGTAATGTTGACTTATTAGAGTTGAATGTATCTGTGATGCTTTGTATTTTTTGTCCATTGTTCTTGTTTGTTGTGATCCATGTTGTGTCATCTATATATAACACCACAGGCATTTGGACTTGAGGGTCTCTGATTGTTTCTAGCCATTTGTTGTGCCTTATGTTGTGTAGCTTGTATCCTATTTTGAGTTCACTTATTTTGGTGATCAAGGGATCATAGTATATGCACCAGAGCAGTGGGGAGATTGTATTGCCTTGGTCTATGCCATTGGTTGGTGAGTATTCATCTGTTAACCCATAACATGTGATTACTCTGTTTTTGCAATCTGTGTTGAGGTTCAATATAATCTTGATCATTTTTTCTGGAGTTTTGATTCTTTGCAATGCTTTTTCCAAGATGCTAT